ACACACACACACACACACACACACACACACACACACACACACACACAGGTGAGCAGCTGATCAGGTGACAGTCCAGACCTCCTGCAGGTAGAGCGGCTCACCTGTGGTCTGAATGTAGTAATTAGTTATTGATTTCCAGTGATCGATGAAGGAGTCCAGCAGGTCGATGGCGGGCTCCCTCTGAAAGACAGGAGGTCAAAAACGCCTCTGATCAGAACTGGACCGGAACCTTGGACAGAACGGGACTTCGTAAAAGTAAAATGTAATAAATCCTGTTTCTGTTTCATCAGAAACACAAACTTGTAGTTTCCTTACAGACAATATAAATAAAATAATAAATAAAGAAACACGTGACAGCTGGCCTCAGCAGCAGAACCTCTTCACGACTTTATTTATTTATTGTTTATTTACTTTGGTCGTTCTCATTAAAACGTGACGCGCGCGCCCGGCCGGGTTCTGCGCAGACTCAGTGGCGCCCCGCGGAAGGTAAACAGTTAGCCGTTAGCAACAGTTAGCTCCAGGACAAACCGGGGACCGACAGGGAGACAGTGTCTCTCTCGTTGTCCTTTACGGACACTAACCACTGACACAAACAAGTTTAGTAAAATAAATAAAGTCAAAACGTTATCTCCACGTTAACTCTAACTTTGTTCAACTTTTGACCGGAAGTTGGCCAGAAGTCCACGAGCAGCTAAACTCACCGTCTCCAGCGCGCGCAGCAACATGCTGCTCAATTTGCTGAAAGTCTCCATTGTGCTTCACCGTCCGGTACCGGGTTCGGACCGTTTCGGTTCGGTGAACTACCACATCTGAGCCCAACCAACAGCTGACTGGACTCAGCTCCACACGTGCTTTTCCGGTCTTGACTTTACAAAATAAAACGAGATGAAAGTCTTCTCAACCGGATGTGACGTTTGACGAAACCTATGACGTCATACTTGATGCCTGGCTTCATAGAGAGACTGTAATAATAAAATACAAACTTGTATTTTATTTTTCTTAACTTTATTGAGCAAATAAAGGAAAAATCAAGAACTGCATTAAAACACAAAAAGGAAAATGGGACAAACAAAATATACATGTTTAAGTGTGTGTGTGTGTGTGTGTGTGCGCGTGTGACCAGACCTCTCTCTGCGTTGTGCTGGTGTTTAGAAGAATTAGACCGTTACACGGTTTAATCTGAGCGTGGCTGATTTCCCAGTTTATTCTGACAAAGCTCTGTTTTTATGCTCTTTTATCTTGTTTTTAACTGATGTTTCAGCTATGGCTGTGTTAAAGTGCTTTAGAAATAAAGTTGATGATGATGAAAACAATAAACACACAACAACCGCCGCTCCTACACTAAAGAAAAATGTATAACAAAACTAAAATTAACTCCAACTACTTTACAGTCACAAGTTCACTTAAATATTTACAATATGCGATGGATATACAATATATACATTACAACAGGGATGATAACAAACGTGCACTTAATAACTCTATAAATAAACAGGATGAATTTAGATGAAAATAGTTAACATCCACCTCTTCACAGGACAAAGGGGAGCAAAGAATTTATCAGAAATAATACCGTAGATTCAGGAGAAATAAAAAGATCTTAAAATCACAGTGTTTTTAAAAGTGTTTACAGTCAGATATATGAACAATCTGAATACATTTTGTGTAATTATAACAAAATCCAGTTTCTGTCCGTGACGCTGACACATTGTCCAGTTTAAGACTGGGATTAACTTTCCTTTTTGATAAATCCTACAGTTAGGGTCGGCTTGTTATGTTATTGTTGAGGGGCGGCTGTGGCTCAGTGGTTAGAGCAGTCGTCCTCCAATGTGAGAGTTGGGGGTTCAAATCCACCAGCAGTCACTTGCTGAAGTGTCCCTGGGCAAGACACTGAACCCTCACAGCCTCTGATGTGTCCCATCAGTGTCTGAATGTGATCTAAAGCTCTGATTAGTCTCTTTAGAAAAATTTGATCAATTAGCTTTGTAGAGATCTAGTATAGAGCTGTGTGAACGGGTAAATGAGGCACAGATTGTAGTAAAGAGCTTTGAGTATCTGGATAAGATAGAAAGGAGCTGTATAGGTGCAGTCCATTTACCATTTATGCTGCTATAGACTTAAACTACTAGAGGACAAACTGACCTCATGTCCTTAAATGAATTGTTAAAATTGAATAGTTTTCATTTGATACTATTTCTATCTTAACATGTGGTTCTTGACCTGCCAT